ACCACACCTGGCTAACTTGTTGACTTATTGTAGAGACCAGATCTCGCCAAGTTGCCCAGGCTGGTCATGAGCCCCTGGGCTCAGGCTATCCTCTCTCCTCTGCCTCCCAAAGTGCTGGGATTATAGGCGTGAGCTACTACGCCTGGCCGTCTTTTCACTTTCTTAATGGTGCCTTTTGAAGTGCAGAAGATTTTAAATTTGATGATGTCCAATTTATCAATTTCTTCTGTTACGGATTATGTTTTTATGGCATAGCTAAGAATACTGTACCAAACCTAACATCATGAAGATTTCCTCCTGTATTTTCTTCTAGGCGTTTTAGAGTTATAGCTTGTATATTGTGGTCCCTTTTGACCTAATGTTTGTGTATGGTGTGAAATTTAGATTGAGATTGATTTCACGTAGCAGGCCTGAGACTGCTGTCCTTAGAAAGTCCTGCTTGTAAGATAGGCCCTTGGTTAGTGTCTGGAAACTCGCATTTTAGAAGAGTTTCTGCCATTCCCAGATGGATAAGAGGGGCTCACTCTGAAGTGTTTGTACACATGGCATAGTTGATGCTGAATGACTTGCTTTCCTTCTGAGAATCTGGAATTTTGGAACATGCGAGGCCCCAGAGAAAGCCCTGGGTACTGTCTAATGAGCTTCCCTGGTGGGTGGCATTTCATGTGTGTTGTCACAGCTCATTGCTGGAGGATTTTTTTGGTTTTTTTTTTTTTTGAGTTGGAGTCTCACTCTGTCGCCCAGACTGGAGTGCAGCGGCATACTCCCGGCCACTACAGCCTTGACCTACTGGGCTCCGGTGATCTTTCCACCTCAACCTTCCAAGTAGCTGGAACTACAGGCGTGTGCTACCACGTCCGGCTAATTTTTGATTTATTGTGGAGATGAGGTCTTGCCAAGTTGCCCAGGCGGGTCTCGAACCCGCGGGCTCAGGCAATCCACTCACCTCAGCCTCCCAAAGCATGGGATTACAGGCTGAGCCACCGAGCCCGGCTGATTTTTTTGTTTTTTAAATGAAGAGCATTTATTAGGAAAAAACACTCCAAATACTCACAAGTAGTTATCTTTCACACTTAACCTTTGACCAGGGGACACTTGGCAACTGCACAGGAAAAGGACACCAGGACAGAGTCCATGAGATTTTACTTACACCACAAAGGGAGTTTTAAGGCAGATTGATTCAAGAATGCCAAAACTTTATCTATGGCATAAACGCAACATTCACAACTAACTCAGCCCTCAAAACATTCCCAGTACCAACAAATCACTGAACTAGTCAAGAGGACAGCCACTGTCAAACACAGGAAAACAGAGTCTCAAAAACAACCCGACATACCATCGATGTAGCTGGAGGGATGAAACACATCTGTGTGACTCCGCTGGGAAGGGATTCTAGAAGCCTGTGCCTGATTTCCTCCAAATTTCAACCCTTTGGTGATTTAGCTTTGTGTCTTTTTTTTTTTTTTTTTTTGAGTTGGAGTCCCACTCCGTCATTCAGGCTGGAGTGCAGTGGCATGCTCACAGCCATCGCAACCTCGACCTACTGGACTCAGGTGATCCTTCCACCTCAACCTTTCAAATAACTGAAACCACAGGCATGTGCCACCATGCCCGGTTGATTTTTAAATTTATTGTAGAGACGAGGTGTCGCCAAGTTGCCCAGGCTGGTCTCGAACCTGTGGGCTCAGGCAGTCCTCTCACCTCAGCCTCCCAAAGTGCTGGGGTTACAGCCTTGAGCCACGGCAAGTGCCTTTTTGCTATAATAGTCATAGCCATGACTTTTGTGAGTCTTCCTAGCAAAGCAGCAAGCTTGGGGTGGTCTTGGGGACCCTAACGTACCCGTGGGTGTCCAGTTGCTTCAGCACCATTTGTCGAAAAGCCTGTCTTTTCTTTCTTGAACTATCTTGGCTCTTGTGTCACAGTCTGACCATAAATGTAAAGATTTATCTCTGGTCTCTGCATTCTGTTCCATTGCCTATTCTTATGCTAGTATCACATTGTCTTGATTACTGTGGCTTTTAGAGCAAGTTTTAAAATCAAATAGCATAGGTCTTCCCACTTTGTTCTTATTTTTCAAAATCGTTTTGGCTACTCTAAGTCCCTTGCATATTTCCACGTACATTTTTGGGATCTGCTTGTCAATTACAACTAAAAAAGTTACTGGGATCTGGTGTGGCAGCCCACGCTTGTCACCCTGGCACTTTGGGAGGCTGAGGCGGGAGGATTGCTTGAGCCCAGGAGTTGAACACCAGTCTAAGCAACATAGGGAGACCATGTCTCTACAAAATAAATTTTAAAAAGTAACCGAGCATGGTGGCGTACTCCTGTAGTCCCAGTTACTGGGGAGCCTGAGGGTAGAGGATCACTTGAGCCCAGGAGTTTGAGGGTTCAGTGAGCCATGATTGTGCCCCCAACTAAAAATAAACATAAAAAAGTCACTGGGATTTTGATTGGGATTGCACTGAATGGATAGATTAATTGGGAACTAGACTTCCTGGCAATAGTGAGTGTTCAAATCCATAACATGGAATAGTCCTCCATTTACTGTCTCAGCAATGTTTTGTAGTTTTCAGTGTACACATCTATTGTTAAATTTATTCCTGAGTTTTTTTTTTTGTTTTTTTTTTTTGAGTTGGAGTCTCACTCGGTCGCCCAGACTGGAGTGCAGTGGCCGCTTCTGGCCACCGCAGCCTCACCTGCTGGGCTCCAGCGATCCTTCCGCCTCAGCCTTCCAAGTAGCCGGAATTACAGGCATGCGTTACCACGCTCGGCTGATTTTTTATTTTTTTATTTATTGTAGAGATGAGGTCTCTTTGCCCAGGCGGGTCTCGAACCCGTGGGCTCAGGCAATCCACTCACCTCAGCCTCCCAAAGGCGCGGAATTACAGGCTGAGCCACTGAGCCCGGCTTGTTTTTTTTTTTAAAGTCAGAGTCTCACTGTGTCATCAGTAGCACGCTCATGGCTACCACAGCCTCAACCTGCTGGGCTCAGGCATTCCTTCTGCAGCCTTCCAAGTAGCTGAAACTACAGGTACACGCCACCATGCCCAGCTAATGTTTTTGATTTATTGTGGAGATAAGGTCTCGCTAAGATGCCTAGACTGGTCTTGAACCCATGGGCTCAGGCAATCCTCTCACCTCTGTCTCCCAAAGTGCTGGGATTACAGGTGTGAGCCACCACACCCGGACTATTCCTGAGTATTTTAATCTTTTTGATGCTATTGTGAATGCAGTGGTATTCTCATATCATTTTAAGATTGTTAAGTGCTAGAATATGGAGATTGAATTGACTTTTGTATATTGATTGTACCCTGTGACCTTGCTTAAATTTATTCTAGTGTTTGTGTTGTGGATGCCTTGGGATTTTCTGCATATCATACATGCATTAAAGGCATTACCTTTAATACCATCCGTGAATAAATATAATTTTGTTTCTTCCTTTCCAATTTGAATGCCTTTAATTTCTTTACTTGCCTCACTGCCACCAGCTCCAGTTACGTGTTGATCAGAAGTAGCAAAAGCAGGTGTCTTTGCTTGATCCTAATCAGAGGGGAAGACCAGTTAGTCTTTCACCCTTGAGCATGATGTTAGCTGTGGGTTTTAGATGTCCTTTATCATCTTTTGTGAATTCTCTTTTACTTCTAGCTTGTTAATTTTTAATATGAATCTGTGTTGGATTTTGTCACACACAGTTTTGTGTGCCTATTGAGATCACCATGTGCTTTTTATCCTTTATTCTATTAATATAGTGTGCTACATTGATTGATTTAAAAATGTTAAACCAACCTTGCATTCCTGAGATAAATTCTACTTGGTCATGTTGTATCATTCTTTTTATGTTTTGCTAGGTTTAGGTTACCAATATTTGTTGAGGATTTTTGCATATATATGCATGTTTAGTTTTCTTGTGATGTCTTTCTTTGGTGGATCAGGGTAATACTAGCCTCTGAGAATGGGCTGGGAAATAGTACCTCTGCCTCTGTTTGCTGGAACCCGCAGCCTCAGGCAATCCATTCGCCTTGGCCTCCCAAAGTGCTGGGATTATAGGTTGAGCCACTGAGTCTCGCCGCTTCCTCTATTTACTCACCGATTTATGGTCTTTTTTTTTTCTTTTGAGTTGGACTCATTCTGTCTCCCAGGCTAGAGTGCGGTGGCATGCTCACAGTCACTGTAGTCTCAATCTGCTGGGCTCAGGTGATTCTGCTGCTTAGCCTTCAGGCATATACCACCACACCCAGCTAATGTTTTTGATTTATTGTAGAGATGAGTTCTCATCAAGTTGCCCAGGCTGGTCTCGAACCCCTGGACTCAGACAATCCTCTCGCCTCTACCTCAGGAATATAGGCATGAGCCACTGCACCCAGCTATTTATGGTCTTTTAGGGCATGACTGGGAGCAGTCTTTTCTGAAGGCTAATTGTTTTTTAAAACTTAATTTAATTTATTTAATTTTTGAGTTGGAATCGCACTCTGTTACCCAGGCCGGAGTGTAGTGGCACTCTCACAGCGACCACAGACTCAACCTGCTGGGCTCAGGTGATCCTTCCACCTCAGCCTTCCTAGTAGCTGGAACCACAGGCTTATACCACTGTCCCTGGCTAATTTTTTGATTTATTGTAGAGACAAGGTCTTGCTATGTTTCTCAGGCTGATCTCAAGCTCTAGAATTTAGGCAGTCTTCTCGTCTTGCCCTTTCAAAGTGCTGGGATTATAGACGTGAGCCACTGCACCCAGCTCAAGGCTAATTTTTTGCAGGAATGTTACAGAATTCTTGTCTGGCAGCTCATGGTGTCATTGCCTGGGTCCCCACAGCCATTTGCTGCTTGATGGGGATCAAGATGGGCAGATGCCCAGCATCTCTGAGATACCTTATCTAATCATGTCTGGCACTCATCTCCAAGCGATCCCCTGAGCTTCCCTGCAGGGACTGGGGGGTGGACCTGCGCATCAGCAGCTGAGATGCTTGGCTGAGGGCCTTTCTCTCCCTCCTCTCTTTGAGCAGAGTAGCCACGAACCAGAAGGTGCGGGAGCAGGTGCGGCTGGAGCTGAGCTTTGTCAACTCAGACCTGCAGATGCTCAAGGAGGAGCTGGAGGGGCTCAACATCTCGGTGGGAGTCTATCAGAGCGCAGAGTAAGTGAGAGTAATGCTTATTCCAAATACCTCGGAATCTGAGAGCGTGCTGCATCAGAGATGGTACAGAGAGAGGCCAAGTAGAGGTAATAACCGAGGGTATGGCAGGTTCCTCTTTGGGAAGCGAGAGCATCATCAGGTTTAATATTTAGAAGGTGCTAGACTTGAAGGGATGAGCCTTGAGTTTGTTAGGAAATACCTGTATTGGACAAAAAGGCATTTGTCTTAGGACGCCTTGGGACAGGGTTTTATGGGAGAGCTATGCATCTGGGTCTAGGTGGGGAGGTGGCAGCTGTCATGTGAGCGGGGGTGGTGGATCTGCCATAATGAAACCTGGGAAGCTTCTGTGGAAGCTTTGAAAACCACCTGCTAGATGGGGCCGGAGCGTCCCTCCCTTCTTCCCTCTCAGCCTCTCACCAAGCCCTGGTCCTGACTGTGGATAGAATGCATACAACCACCCCAACAGGGATCTTTTATCTCAAAGGTGATGGGACCCTTGTGAGTTCCCTGGGAAGATGGTGCAACTGAGACACTTCAGTGATGTACCTGTTAAATATTTGAGAGATGAACGTTCTAAGTGAGAAGCATCTCTTCGGGAGTGTCTGTGGGAGATGGAATATGGAGTTGTGGCCTTCCGAAGAGCTCAGGGGATTCCCAGTCCAAGAGAGCCTCTTTTAAAGAAATGCCCATTTTTAAGAAGGACTCATGTTGAGAAGCTCTGAAGAAGGTTTATCCTGCAGGGGTGAGATCACTGAAAACGTGTGTAGGCTCCAGGGGGAAATCTGCCAGAAAATAGCTCTCTGACGAACAGAAGGATGACTTTGGGGAACTTTGAGTCACCTTTGGAATGTACATTTCCTGACCGTGATCCTTAACACGGTACCTGGGGCGTTTTTTCAGAGATAGGTTAGTGCATGAAGGCTCCCCTGACTCTTCCCACTGTGAGGCCCTGTACCTGGCTTGCTTACCTATAGGCTCAGAGTAATAACAGATGGAAGACCCTCCCAAACTACACTGTGGTGTTAAATTTCTGTGTTTGGTTCAAAGGATCCAAGTTCCTCAAGGAGGTGAGGCAGGGTCAAAGTTCAGTAATAAATGTAGGCTTTTCGTATTTGCATTTGCTATGCTCGAGAATGGGATGTCCACCTTGGGCCTTCCCACAGAAACACACACTGAAGCCCCTGTGGGGTTACCGTGGCTCTAGAGTGGCCCACCTGTCCCCTGTGTACATTCAACATGCCATCTTGCATGTGGGTTCTCTATTTCTGTTTTCAAAGTAGATCGTTTCATTCTTAGCCCAGTTGAACTTTTAAAATTTTTTATTTATTTTAATTTTTTTTTCTTGAGTTGGAGTCTCACTCTGTCGCCCAGGCTAGAGTGCAGGGGCACACTCATGGCCACTGCAGCCTCGACCTGCTGAGTTCAGGTATCCTTTTTCCTCAGCTTTCCAAAGTAGCTGTAACTACAGGTGCGCACTACCACGCCCGGCAGTTTTTTTATTTATTATAGAGATGAAGTCTCACCAAGTTGCTCCTGCTGGTCTCAGACCACCAGACTCAGGCAATCCTTTTGCCTTGACCTCCCAAAGTGCTGGGATTATAGGCTTGAGCCACCGTGCCTGGCCTATTTTTTTATTTTTTGGAGTGCAATGGCATGCTCATGACCACCACAGCCTTGACCTGCTGGGCTCAGGCAATCCTTTTGCCTTAGCTTTGCAAGTAGCTGGAACTACAGGCATATGCCACCGCACCCGGCTAATCTTTTTTCTTGATTTATTGTAGAGACGGTCTTGCCATGTCGCCCAGGCTGGTCTTGAACCTTGGGCTCAGACAGTCCTCTTGTTTCTGCCTCCCCGAATGCTGGGATTACAGGCGTGAGCCACCGCACCGCAGCACAGTTGACCTATAAACTCTTTTGTGAGTTACACAGGGAAAAAACAATTTCATTGTGCAGATGAGAAAATTGGGAAGACCTGAAGTCACCCAGAGAGTTATGTAAGCATCACACTGAGACTGGGTGTTGTTTTGCAGGACCTCAGGACACCCGCTGCTCCTCTTCTTGTTGCCTGGACAGTCCTAGGAGAGCAGACCTTGTGTCCAGCCCTGTGTGGGGTTAGGACAGGAGGGCCCTGAGGCCCGGAGGAGTGAGGCCTAGTCCACCCTCGCCTCCTTCCACCAGGGTCTCGCTTTCTCTGAGGACCCTGGGCTGCACACCCGGATTGGGCTCACCTGTTTTCAGCCGAATTGTACCCCACTGGCAGTTGTAAGTTTCAGCTTACAACTGCATTGTCCACTCACCCTGCCCAGCATTCCTGGCCTTCTTTCCGGGCTGGGCTGAGCCCCGCAAGGAGGTCTCCTGTTACAGGTCAAGGAGCTAAACCCCCGTTTGCACAACACAGCCTGAGCCTGGTTCACTTCCTGCTGGCCGTGCCCCTGGGCTTGTAGGCCCCGGGAGCATTGTCAGGCATCCTGTGGGTTCCCAAGTGGTCAGTTTGAAGAGTCAGGCCAGCTGGGGTCTGACCCTGGGTTGGGAGGCAGGTGCACTTAGGTGTCAGATGGGGCCCCTGTCCTCAAGGCATTCCCTGTGCAGATGAAGGGACACTTAGACTGACACACCCCAAAGAAGGAAGCCTTTACGAGCTTGGGATTGGGGGCTTACCAACCACCTGCTGGAGAGGTGGGACCCACTTCAGGGGAGGAGAGGAGGAGGAGGAGGAGGAAGTTTCACACTCTGATGCTTTCCATCTGGCTCTGAAAAACGCCCCAGGTGCTGTGTTAAGGATCACAGGATCAGAAAATCCACGTTCCAGAGGGGGCTGCAAGGAGGCCCAGTGTGGCAGGGTGGTATGCCCAGGTAGAAACAGTGGACGCACCCGGCGCAGACCCTGGCATGTGCTTGGTTCTCAGCATCGTTGCTGAAAGAAACATTGAGGATGTGAGGGCGTGTTGTGTTGGGCTGGGTGGTCCAGAGTCTCAGGGAGCCAGGGCGAGTTTTGGAGCAGAGGGAGGGGTGTGATCAGAGTCTTCCAGTGGAAAGTGAACAACCTGTCAGCCAGGCATGTCCTGAGTGGGCACGAGAAAAGGGTGGGGACCTGAGTGGGGCTGCTGGCGACTGGGTTGTGGGTGCAGAGGGGCCTGACTGAGGGTGTTCATAGACTCTGTTGTGTTCCTTATAGGGAGGCATTTACAATTCCCCTGATTCCTCTTGGATTGAAGGAGACGAAAGATGTCGACTTTTCAGTTGTCCTCAAGGTAAGTCTCAAAGCAGTGAGCACTGTGTTTAAAAAGGAAGGATGGAAGTGTATCCCTTGCAGTGGCTTAGGCTCAGCAGGCCAAGGGTCAGCTAATGTCTGCAGGGTGACCCTGAGCCTGCTCTGGGCCTGTGACACAGAGAAATTTGTACCTTCATTTCTCCCACATGCTTGCTGTCTTTTTTGGTGATGTCTGAAGCTCCTGCCTGGAGAGGACAGGTGGACACCCAGACTGACCTTCCCAGGAGGCCAAATCAAAGAGGGCCTCTGATGGATGTGCCTCAGAATTTAAAAATTATATCCTAAGCCGGGCTCGGTGGCTCGGCCTGTAATCCCACGCCTTTGGGAGGCTGAGGTGAGTGGATTGCCTGAGCCCGCGGGTTCGAGACCTGCTTGGGCAACTCGGCGAGACCTCATCTCTACAATAAATCAAAAAGTCAGCCGGACGTGGTAGCGCATGCCTGTAATACTGGCTACTCGAAAGGCTGAGGCGGAAGGATCGCCAGAGCCCAGCAGGTCGAGGCTG